CCATGTTTCGCACCCGTACAACGCCGTGCTCCAAACATACACCTTTAACAACCTTTTTCGAATTTCTAAATTAACCGTTCGCGAGCATAGAAGTGACTTCTTTTTATTAAAGGCGACACGACCCTGCGCTATCCTCTGCTTTATATCCCTACTACTAGAAGGTCTTACTGTATTAGAATATCTTTTGGTTCCTTTTAAAAAATTCGTGTGCAAAGGGTGGAGGTGCGTGTCCAACCAGTCTTAGGACCTCCTCATCCCCTAATATTCCTCTAGACTTTCGAACTGAGCAATGGAGACCAAGATGTGGTCCGTCAAACCGAAATTAAAAAAGGTTATTTTAGAAAAGTGTGTAATCGCCTTGCTTTTAAAATAAACTAATTCTACATTGTACACATTCATTGGGAGACATTGTGTACTTATTAACAATGATTTTAGAGCAAAAGTTGAGGGCACGTTTTCAGCTTCAAGTTGTCGCAATCAATTTCAAATTGATGCCAATAGATTTTAATTCGATAAGTACGTACCTACTAGAAAGCTATTAAGAATTATTTACCAACAATATAGAGCCCATTTCTTTCATTAAAACTGCTGCCATTATAGCCGAAAATAGATCTAGATTTAATTTTTTATTTTTGGTAGCGAGGAAATCGACGAAATCGTTAAATTAAATAGCCTTGATCCTTCATTGCCAAAAACAGGGAAGAAGGTAAAGAATGTTTTCCAATTACGTAGACGTCTTGGCCGAATTTTCACCGATTTCTTGGCCTTTATATTTTCCTTCTGGCAAGGGAGCAAAAACAAAAAACGTCAAAGGCGCTGAACACTGAATTTTTACACTTGATAGCATTTTTAGTGGCAAAATCCAATAAAACAACGGGCAATAATTTAACGGTCCTTCGGCGTAATCTGATAGATTCTATTTGTCAGAAATAATGGAAATCGAAAGGGAAAATACACTCGTAATTGAGGCCAAGTATGAAATAAGAAATTTTATTGATTGCAACCCTCATGTATAAATATAATTTATTATCTGCTTCAGAAAAAGGAAGATGTTATTAATTGCGATTCTATCATTTGTCGTTTTTAATAACTTTCTGTTTGTCTCAAAATTTGTACCTAGTATTGTTATTAATTATTTAAAATATGCGAAGCCACAATGACAATGAACAAAATCCAATAAAATGGTAGTTTTAATGACAACTTGTACTCTGGTAGTTAATAAATTATATCATTTTGTATTGCCATTAAAACTATCATTCTGTTTTATTTACTTTCCTTTTGAATTGTAATTGACAGACAGACGATTAGTTGCGAGTGTATTATGTCCTGTGTTCATTTGTGATGGAGACTTGAGTAAAACTACCCCTAAAACAAGGGAGGAACTGGAACTGATGAATTATAGCAAACAAGGTCGACGTTTTATGTCACTTCCGGGACTTTATTAGACCATAAAGGCAATGTGGCATTGCGATAAACAACAATGCTCACCCGTAAAACAATCCGAGTAAAAATAGCCATAAATTCATTTTATGATTTCGTACATTCGCGACTAAATCTGATATGAAGTCACGATAAAGAGTCGTCATCAAGTACTCGATGAGCATTTTTCTGTATCAAAATTTAACATTGCTCTTTCAATTATTTTTGGTCTGGATTTTGATGACATTTTAACATAAATATTTACACTTATTATTTATTTATTAATGCCATTAGCTAAGGAAACTCGTGATTTTTTCGCCAAAATATTTGCACACAATATGGAATGTGCAAACGTGGTGTATCAGTTGTTACTTTTGTGTGCTGCTATTGTTTTCTTAACATTTCTTCTGTGTACCATATAATCCTTTTTCCATTTTCAAACTTTTCCGCTTTCCAAACAACCAGCAACACTAAGAAAACATTCCTTCTTTTATTGAGAATAAAGCAATATTTATTTTTGTCGTATATATTGGTGTCAACAAACACAAAGTTGGATGCAATAATTGTACCATCACTTTAACAACAAAAGAAGTACCTAAAAACTATATTTTTTCAAGAAAGAACTTGTTGTTTATTGTTTATGCCTTTACTATGTTCACTTCAAATCAAAATTGAAAAATGAAAAAATGAGGACAAAAAGTAGCATTATTAATAATAGTATTGTTCATTCCCTATTTTGTACTTTTCATTTGTACCATTGGTCTACCAAACAATTAATATTTCATCTCAATTTGTTACAGAAAGCTACGAAAGAAATAAATTTGGACTTTTCCTTGAATTTCATAAACCATAAGGATAATTTCCATCAAATAAAGGTAATAAAGAATATTTTTTTTATTCTGAGCAATCAATTATATTTGTCGAAAATAATACTATTTCATTACAATTAAAATATTTTTAAATATATTCTCTTTACAACAGTCCCAACTGCAGCTAAATCGGTCGAGTATTTCTCTAGATATACGTATTTAAAAATTTACATAAAAATTTAAATAATTGTTACAACTTTTACTATAAGGGGCCAATGACCGCATATTTTCATTGATTGATTTTACTATATGAATCAATCGGCCATGTTTTTGCAAACATGTTATGATTGGGCGTTTTTGAATTCAAAAGAATAGGAACCAATCAAATGAGTCGTTTGTTTAATTTTAAATGACAGTTGGAAAGGATGTCATTGTTATAATCGTTTTAATTAAATTTCGGTGAGAATGTTATTAAATCACCTAGTGAAACCTTAGCAATAAATTTTAAATGATTTGTAAGTTATTCTTTCGTATTTGTTCTGTAAGTAACAATGTTTTTAATCAAGGAAATTGCTTCAATCAAGAAAATCATTTTTATGTAATGTGTGACAGATACAATTTTGCTTGTGGTTATTTTAAAGGAAATTAATTATGGTTTGTTAGTAACCTTGTTAGCTCTCAATTTAATCATATTTTTGTAAAATTGTGTCTTTATATTCATGGTAAATTCAAGAATTATGCATTAACAGTAGAGTAAGTAAATCAATCATATACGTCGATAATTCGATAATATCCTTTATTGAAATTAAAGATCATTAGTTTGCAGGTCGTTAATTAGGATAATTAGAAATTAATTTAAATTTAAATTTAACCGTTAGTGTTTCTTTAGTATTACAGGTTGAAGTGATGCTCGTCAACGATCATTGTAGCTATCGTCCGATAGGTGTCGTCGTAAGATTTAGACCACTGCAGACAAACAATTTGTAAAAATGGAGTATGGAGGGGGCCCAGANAATATTAAAGCGATATTTGCAGTTTATCTCACTAGACCCGAATTTGTAAAGATAAAAACCCAACAGGAATAAATTCACTAGGTATTTTAGTTGATATTACAAATTAAACTGTATCTAATAATTAAGAAACTTGAAACTATTTAAAAAAAAAAATGTCAAAATTAATATTATTACAAGTTACCGAATAACGTCTGCTATTTCTACGTCAAATTTAGTCATTTACAATCGAAAATTGTAATTTTTGTTTTTCCATAAACATTTAGTTATCTACGTGTTGTAGGTTGTTTTGGCATTCGGCACGCGTGTCCAACTGCAATTAATTATATTTTTAATTACCTTTTTCTGGTGTCGGATCCTTAAAACTGTCCAGTTGTATTTCCACAATCTTCTCGTACAGGTCAAATATTTGGGCAATACAAGTAACCGTCGTTGACCCATTGTAATCGTCAACTTTTGTGACAGACGCTGCACCAAATTCGCTTGTTGCAAGCACCTTAGAAATTAATTGTTTAATTGTTTACTATGAATTAAGGCTACCTACCGTTTGGTTGTTTATTAAAATTTTTAGGGTTTGTGGCGGTCTTGACGGGGCCGAGGTACATCTGGCATACAAAATATGAGACGAATTCAAAGTTCGTCGGTCTACCCATAATTCAGGGGGTTGTTTAGGGAGTTCTGGAAATTATTTGGTTTAATTAATTAATAGAACTTCTAATTGTGTAAATTCATTACTTACGAACGACGTTCATCATTTTTGTGTCAATTCCTGTAGAAAATGAAAAATCTGTAGTCACTTCGCAAGAAAAATCGCCGGACAATTCAAAATCGATTTTTGTAAGGACAACCTGTGTCCCATTGGAATTGTTCGTCTGTAAAAGTTGTGTATAAAATACAATCCCAAATGTCCATGTATGTATTTGGACTTCATTTAAATGTATTTCGAAAAAGATTGTTAAAGGTGTATGTTTAGAGCACGGCGTTGTACGGATGCGAAACATGGACAGTGGGCGCGGCGGAAAAGAAAAGGTTAGAAGCGTTCGAAATGTGGTGTTATAGGCGGATGATGAGGATATCGTGGGTAGAAAAGGTTAGAAATGAAGAGGTATTGGAAAGAATAGGAGAACAGAGGACTCTATGGAAGTCAATAAAAAATAGGCGAGATAGGTTGGTAGGACACCTTCTCAGGCATGAAGGTCTAGTCAGAGACATATTAGAGGCAGAAACAGGAGTTAGGAGGGGTAGAGGTAGACCTAGATTAGATTACTGTTCGCAAATAGTTAAGGATGTGGGCTGTTCTAGTTTTAGGGAAATGCGAAGTTTAGCTCAAGATAGGAAAGAGTGGAGGTACGTGTCCAACCAGTCTTAGGACTTATGATGATGATGATGATGATAATAATAATGAAATATATTAAGCAATTAGTAAAAGCAACAAACTTCTAAATGTTAGTACAAGTGCCTGTTAGTCCGCGAGGGGCATTTTACCCCTTATCCGGTTAATGATAACCGAAAACTTCCCTATCCGCCACCCGGGAAAGCGCCCGATGGGGATTGCAGGTTCCCCGCACGGGAAAAACTTTACTTACGCTGGTCAATGCTGCAAAAAATTGTGTATATGTATTTTCACCGTTGTATTTAATAATTTGACTACTGAAATGTACCTAACTGATAAAATACATCGAGCTCAAAAAGAATGAACGAAAAATGAAGTGAGCCAAAGCAAGCGACATACATGTACTGAAAAGAATTATGGAACTAATAAAAGAACTCAAAAATCCACCTCAGATATAGAGGAACTTTGGTTTGCTTAACGAAACTGGTAAATTAAATAATAAAATATTCCTGGTGTAGAGGCTCGTAGTGAATAAGTCAGTTACATATATAATCTCTGAATCATACACTAATGTTTTTTAACACTATATATGATCAATTAAAAAATTACACAACAATTAATAAAGGTGATACCTACATTGTGATAGAAATACCAATCAATTTATCAACTTGCTGCTCCTGTTTGCATATCCTTAGGAAATTGTACGAGAAAATCTGCTACAACACATGTTAACGTATTATATTACTTACTATACTCTTCTTGGAGTTGATCCTCTTATTAAAACACATGTCGCTGACATCCCTATTCCTTTCTTTAAATAAATCCGTACAGGATAATTCTGGACCTGTAATCATAACAAGACGGACATCCTGATGAAAAATAAATAAAGTAACTCAAAACTAGTTGTTAAAGATCAATTGAAGAACTTAACTAGAAATAGAAACTTCAAAATTCCTCTTAAAAAACACGTCACTACCACTTCACTCCCCGCCCGCCCCCGATCGCAAACCGTACCTAAAAATGAAATTGTTTAACTTATGAATATCAATGCAACAATTATTATCATCCCAATCTCCCAATTGATTGTGGTACGTCACATCTTGGTTCCTTCAAGCTAGTCCTTGGCAAAGGTACGAACTGTAGTCATAAAACAATTGGCAGACTTAGTCGAAATCAATAACTAAAGACTCGCATGAGTGTATACGTACTGTTTAATATCTTCTTACTATATGTATATATATATGTTTGATAATCCTCTTCCGTGAAATCATTACACTTAATCACTACACTTAACCCCCACCAACCCCCACCGCGGCCCAAGCGATGCCCAAATAGATCAAAATACATATACATATATACAAGAAAACAACATTTAGCAAGTATAATACACAAGGGGGTGAACGGCAAGCACCGCAACACCAAAAAGTAAAAAAGCATGCATCCTACTATTTATCGGCGATCCTCTTGATCCGATGAGGCGATCCAGTCCGCTGGGGTAGAAATCCTATACGTGACCTAACTCTCTCCCTCTCTCAGCAACAATCAAACATTCAACATCATTACAATAGAAAAACGTAAACTTCGCAAAATCGGCAGATCCTATCGATGTTTTCCTTTAGCATTCTCTATGATAATATCAACACCAAACCTAAAATCCTTTACCCCAGACTTCTTGTACCTATTCCTTATATATTACTCAAACACCCCACAATATAATCACCTTCATAGGGTCGTCAAAGACTAATTGGACACACCTCTACTATTTCCTATCCTAAGCTAATGTTCGCATTTCCCTAAAACTAGAACATCCTACATCCTTAACTATGTATTTGTGAACAGTAGTCTAATTTAGGTCTACCTCTACTCCTCTTAACACCTGTTTCTGCTTCTAATATGTCTTTAATTAACCCCTCATGCCTATCTCTCATTGATTTCCATGGAGCCCTCCGTTCACCTGCTATTTCTAACACCTCCTCATCTCTAATCTCTACGCTATCCTCTTTATCCATCTGTAGTACCATATTTCGAATGATTCTAACGTTTTCGCTTACAGAGCCGTTCTCGAGACATACATTTTTAACAATCTTTACAACAATAACGCGTACCATAATGTTTTATTCATCAAGCACACGAATCATTTACAACTTAATCACCTCAACGCTAAACATATACGACCTAATCAAATGAAGTTACATATACAGTTGGCGGGTTCTTCTCGAAGGGAATTCACCACCACGGTGTCTTTCGAAGACTTCCCTCTTCCAAGAAACCAAAAAGAAAATCCTGTAACTCACTTACTGACTACTACAGTATTGACACAGAGAATATACCTTGATGGTACTTACCATTGATCTATGAACATAATAAATACACAAAATAGTATTATACTTGCTAAACATTGAATAGGCGAAGTGCCAAGGTTTTTCAATTTGTAAAGGAACAAATTTTTCAACCCTGTCACCTTGTCTATTGGGAAATATGAAAATGACTTACCATTTGTTGGACGCTACCTGGAAAAAGATAAAAAAATGGAATTATTATTAAAATTGACGATCTCGTTCGTCATTGTGGTCGACCAGGATAATAAATAATTTCCAAACTAGTACAGAAGCCAGAAAATTTTCAATAACAACCGTAAATCCGTGTTTAGTGTGGAAATTGTTCGTGATTTTGCGATCGACCACAATCAATCAATAACAAATCAACTAAAATGTTTGAAATGAACTAACAATTTCCAATCTATCGTGAAAAGTCAGAAAATTATTAAAAAGAAAATTTAATTTAATATATTTAACGATTTAAATTAGCATGTAATCATTAAAAAATATCACAAAATGGAAATGCCTACCTAAAAAGTTAAAAAGGATTACCTCACTAAAAATATTTAAATCCAATAAAAAATGCTTATTAATGATTAGCAATCATACAGAGTGAAAAATTATCGAAAACAAAAAATACAATTGAAATACTAAACAAAAAAAAAACAATTGTTTAAATAAAGGAAGAAAATGATTGATAATAATTACTTACCACCACCGCCGTTTTTATGTTGCCCTAATCCTCTTAATAAAACATAATCCTCCTTACGAAACACTCCCGAAAATTTGGAAAACACCATAGCACAGGTTAATTAAAGGATATAAAAACGAACGAGCATGGACTTGCAAGGAAACTCGAAAAGCGAGCCACGGCATCGCGACGCGTCGCAACGCACACTCTATTCCGAAAGCATGGTCACGATTAACTGAAGAAAAGCTTACACGTATAGTAGTATATCGTCCTTTACTAGGCAAAAAAAACTGTGTTCTATACCATCCTGAGCACACCAAGCTTTCATAAGAATGTACCATTTCATATTTAGTACTTACAGACCGTCACACAAGAAATATGTATGTTGAAACAAAAGCTAGAACAATTGCTACAAACTTAAACCCATTCGATTATTTACACATATACAATTGTTTTTAAACAAAAGAAAGAACATCATTCCTAGATCGTTGTACAATTTATCAACATGTTGTTTGTGTAATTTGTTGCTAAATTTATGACACAAATACTGCCAATTTAGAACTAAAATTTAAAATTCTAATTTTCTTTTATGTACTTGTAGATACTTTTACTTAAAATTTCGTACTATACCAAATAGTTTTCAAATGATTGCAAAAAGTGTAATTTCATTTTCTGGACATAACCTATCATTATATGAGTGGTGAAGTGCAAAACAAAACAAAAGAAAATAATAGTCGAGTTATTAAGTAGCTGTTTTAGAAGCTTAGTCCGGATTTGGGATAAATTAGAGTAAATTATTAACAAACGGCTACAGCGACAAGCAATTGTTTAATAATTACTTTGGTTATTTCATTTTTATCAATACAAAAAAAATGAAGTAAATATCGGCTGGGGTAGTCTTCGTTTTTATAATAGTTAATGTGCACAAAACAATTTATTTCTAAATATCACAGATAACACATTTTGTTATTAATAATAATTAAAGAAATGTAATCAACTTTACATTAATTAAGACAAACGTTTAACCGAAGCATTTCCACGAACCACACCAGCTTTCTAAACACCCTGTAAATAAATTTCAACGAAAACAAAAGACGTCACTAGTAGTAGATTGAAGCAATTTTTTTCGCTACCACTATTGTCAGCTCTAACTGCAAAAGAAACAAGAAACAAAACGCTAACAAAATCTAAAAACACCATTTTTACAATAAACAAAAAAACAAACATCAATGACAGGGCACACTTCACTTTTTTTAGAGCGACCAAATAAACAAAAAACCATCAGGTTGAAAATAAGACACACCACAAAACCAAAAATTGTACAATGGATATGTACACTTTGCGTTAGTTTTATTTTATTTGTTCGGTGCAATAACGCTCAGACGTGACAGATTGTATATTGATATCCAATGAAATAAAAAATTATTTGTTTTAGTCGAAAAGAGTTATATTCTAATGTAACTTCAAATGTGCACACCAATGTAGCAAATGTATATTCTAATGTAACAAAATGTATATTCTAATGTAACAAAGTGTACATTCTAATGTCAGAAATTGTACTTTCCAATACGAGTAAACGTACATTCTAATGTACATTTGACTTTGCTTCGCCCTTGAAGCCGACTATTTTGTTTGTTGCAATAATCCTTTACGTTAGAAAATATCTTGCATTTTATTATAATACGTAAAAATTAATCTCAATGATACACATTAGTAAAAAGTAAGAAATACGAAAATCGTATACAGTTATATTTATATCAATAAACAATTTGTAAAATCTTCTTTCTAATTAAATATATAATTAGATTTTCATCATGTAAAACAAAATAGAATGTTTTTCAATTATTACTTGTAAAATATAGCAGATAATTGTAAGAATTGAGAAATGTATTAAGTTAGAAGAACATTCGGGAAAATTCTTTGCTGATCTGTATTTTTGATAAAAATACACGTCTATACATTTTCTTTCGTTATTAAGCTAATTTTCACTAGAGACAGGTCTCATATGTAAAGTAGTTAGTTCAATATTTTGAGATAATACATGAAATGACGATAAACTGCAATATTTTTCAACTCATCATGAAAAACAACTTTTCCTGTAATCAAAAGCTCAAAGTTTGTGGATGAAATATTGTGGAAATATGTAGTTATTTGTTTATAATTGTTTTGAAAATGATTCGTGTATTTTCTTTTCTGTTTAAGTATTTAGAAACGAAAGGTACGATATCTAATAATTTTAAACGCTTTTTTAAAGTTTTAGAGTTTTAGGGGATGTATTATAATACACATGTGCAAAAACAATAAAATATTACATGTACGGTAAATGATAATGATGAAGATGAGTGTTAGGTTAGGTTAGAATAGCGCAGAATCGAATCGTTTTTATGAAAAATAAGTCACTTCTGTGTTCGCCAACAGTTAATTTAGAAATTCGAAAAGGTTATTGTGTGATTTAGTGCCCGTGCGGATACGGTCGAAAATAAAAAGTTGAAGCTGATGTTAGTAGCAGAGTCTGAGAATACGGCGGATAGCATGGGTAAGTAAAGAGGATGTATTAGAAAGAATCTGGCGAAAAATAACCATTCTAAAAACATCGTACAAGTAGCAGAATCGCCTGGTAACAGTAATAGTTATGGGGTTTCGCAGCCAAAAGGCTCGTTTTGATTAACACTTTTCCTAGCCAGTACATAAAATGGTCTCGCAAACGAGATTTCGCTGACGTCATTTTATTGGACACATATTAGAAGCAGAAACAGGAGTTAAGAGGGACAGAAAAAGTCCTACATTAGTTGCAAATAGTTCACGAAGCGAATCAAAAACGAAAATTGACCTAAATATTAAAGCGATATTTGCAGTTTATCTCACTAGACCCGAATTTGTAAAGATAAAAACCCAACAGGAATAAATTCACTAGGTATTTTAGTTGATTAATTTAAATTTAAATTTAAATTTAACCGTTAGTGTTTCTTTAGTATTACAGGTTGAAGTGATGCTCGTCAACGATCATTGTAGCTATCGTCCGATAGGTGTCGTCGTAAGATTTAGACCACTGCAGACAAACAATTTGTAAAAATGGAGTATGGAGGGGGCCCAGAAATGTAAGCCATCACAGCTGTTGTTGATGTACGTTGTAGGTGTGTTTAAATATTCTACAATTCTTTTATGTTTAATAAATCAAATTGTCATTATTTGTTACTAAACAGTGCTTTCTTAGGTGCAACAAGCTTTGGTGCAAGTTATAAATCAACTTTTTCTAACGTAACGTCCAACTCGTGCACAAGTCCATTAATTTACAGTTAGAAAAGTGTCGACTGAAATCTGAAATAGTGAGCAGCCAGTTTAATGTGAAGAAAATACAAAAGGACTGAAAAATGTCTAAAAACGTCCTGCCATTCGTTCGAGTGTGATCTAGATTTTAAGCTCGTTTTGTTATGCCAATTCTTTAATAATGACGTGAGAACTAATATTAATTTCTATCGAAATACAAGTGGCGTGATGTGATTATTTTAATCAGAAATAGCAAATTAGTATGCGTTTTTCGACAAATTTACAGGGGCGAACCGCCCACGAAGCTCTGATATCTCGACAAGAGGCTGAACTGAGACTTCTGGACACAATGAAACGGTGTCTCGTATCAAAAATAAGATGTGATAGAGAATATGCTCTGGCACTGAGTTCTTTAGCTAGTCAGGGGTTGAAGATTGACAGGGGAGATGAACTTTCCGGTAGTTTGATCCTTTCTGCATGGAAAAGCATGATGGAAGAGCTGGAGAACATGGGAAAAGTGATCAAGCAGAATGCCGACACTTTGGAAACCAAAACTCTCGATGCCTTAAGTTCAATGTACACAGAAAAGAGGAAAACTAGAAAACTATATCAAGAAGAACACACAAAAATAACACAGCAATTTTCTCATGTGAGTACTTATTTATAATTATATTAATGTTCAGCTATTTTTGTTGCAGAGGAAATTATCCTTCTCACATCCTTTTTAATGACCCCATTTCCATCTTTTCATTGCAATGCAATAAATCAGCTATTTTAAATATTTTCATATTCTATCAAATAATAACCAAGGAACTACTACACATTTAAAAAAAAAAGCAAAGGTCATTGCTGTTGTTATTGTTTAATTTAAATTTTTACACGTGTATTTTTTGCTTAATTATGCAAATGAGTCTGATGAGAGTATTAGCAAAAAAGAGTATTCTTTTGCTTGCTGCATCTTCTTGGAAGCTTCAGCATTAGCCTTGACACTTCAGAACTAAAATTAGACACTTGTTTTGTATGCGGAAGCCAAAACAAAGAACCACCAAATTTTTTTAGTTTGACTATTATCAAATGATCAAGTATTATTTCAAAAAGAAAAATAATCTCCAATATTTACTGTCTAAAGATTATCTTAATTTCTTATTTATAATAACTTTATTTATTCTTTCTTAAAGTGGTTGCAAATATAAATATTTTTGAATCTTTGTTTGCAAACGCTTTTATTATTGGTATTCGTTTAAGGAAATGTCCCAAGTTTATCTTCCTTACATAATTGAACCTGCAAGCCTTGATATCTAACTTGTTCAATACAATAAATTACACACTTTATAGCAACAGGTTAATCACCTTTTATCCTTAAAGGCGGTAATTTATATTTAAATTACAGTCTTTAATTATTCCTTGCCTATCTACTTGCTAATGTAAATAAAAAAGGCCAAATATTTCTAGTACATTTAATTTCTTTTTAATTGGTTTTTTATTCACATTTCGTATGTATACTTGTTAAATTGAAATGTTTTCTACAAATATTCAGAAATGGAAAAAGGTCCAATGAAAATGTTAACTGTTTTTTGCCTTTTTCACCCAGTGTAACATTTTCTACTTTCTTTATTTACTGTACTAATTAGTATTGCTGTAAACGTTGTGCTGTATTGGATTCCCTTAAGCGGAATATTTGTCGGTCATGAACATTTCCGTTACTTGTCTCTGACATAGAAACGATCTTAGCCATTTACATAACTAACAGCCAACAAAATGCCTATTTACTTTAAAATGTATTTTTTCGTGAGTATGAATTATTCATGTTCTTCTTTCTCTTTTCAGCTAATGGATGATGTTTCCCGTAAAAAATCAGAATATCAAAAATATCTGGAGCTCTACAAGCTCATGAGGTCCAGGTTCGAAGAACATTATGTGAAATGTAAGTTCATTTTTAATTTTAATTCAGTCTCCAGTATATAATTATCTATTGGGTCGTACTGTGCATATTCCCTGCCTATTTTAAATACAGGGTGATCCACAGTAAATGAAATCTTTATGACCACTTGTTGCGGCTTTTTTTTAAGTAAATTACTTACGCTAGGTGTTTTATACTTCCCGGAACGGTAGTAGTGGTCTAAGTAAACCTGGTTATGCGTTAAAAAATATTTCTGACATAAATAAACTTTACTGATAGAATTTGTGCGTACATAATTGTTTTATAATATGTTTTTTGAATGCGGAATCGCGACATGACTACTGTAGATGTATGTGTATATGTAAACTAAAAATAACTTAAACTTTTTGGCGAGCTTCTGGCGCTGTGTAGTTTTGTTCCTTGAATTGGTTTGACCTTCAACGCACATTTTGTTCCAAATATCAAGTAAATTAATACGACCAATTAGTGTTTTGATTTGTTCAATTAATCGGTTGCTTCGTCCTTTTTTTTTTTTTTTATTGTTCTCGTTACCGTTTGTTTTGTAAGTAGATTCCGTAGACTTGAAATTACAGACAAAACACAATTGTTTTGGTAAAGAAATTTCAAAACAGTAAATAATTAAATATCAATTAGGACAACTCATGAGTCACAATACCAAAATAAAACGATTACCTACATGATTATCTTCTGTGATGTCTTCTTCACTTTCTTTTCGAGATATTTCTAAGTCTAATTTTAGATCTGTACATAAATAACATTTTATTTCTGTGTATCAAAAGTATTTCTCTGTCTATGCAGCCGGCAGGGGTGGCAGAAAACTAGACGATGTTCGAGATAAATATCAAAAGGCTTGCAGGAAACTTCACCTAACACATAATGAGTATGTCCTGTTGCTTTGCGAGGCAACAGAATTCGAAAAAGACTTTAGAACAGTTTTGTTACCGGGATTGTTGGAATATCAGCAGTCCGTACAAGAGGCTTTCATATCAACGTGGAAACAAGTCCTGCAGGAGGTGTCGCAGCTCTCTGATTTTTCTTCTGACAAATTCAAAGAGATCCAAAAACGGATCGAAGCAAACGTGGAGGCTGTAAACCCTGCCGAAGAATACAAAGACTTCACCGAAAAACACAAGTAATAAATAAACAATATTTTTGAATACGATTATCATATACCGTATTTGTCCTTTTTAATCTTAGAACGTCCCCTTCTGATCCCGTAATTTTCACCTTCGACGAGAGTTTGGTTGAGGAGAGCGCCGGGAAACTTCTTCCCAATCAGTTGACCGTTGACAATCTCACTGTCGAATGGTTGAGAACGAAGTTGACTGATCTGGAAGCCGCTATTAAAGAGTGCCAAGAGAAGAGGGTGCTTCTCAATCCCAATAACGTTTCAAGCGATTCCCTTGTGGCCATGGCCAATGGGAAGGCCAACAACGACAATAGCATAAGCAACAGGTTGTCGGGGCTTATAGAGACCAATAAAAAAGAAATAAACGAACTCAGATGCCAAGAACGCAAGATGCAGAGGCAAACGGAACTGATAAAGAGCGCCCTTAACGAGTTGGGGTGCGAAGAAGTGCCATCAGGATGCGATCTGTCCATAGATAACCAGTCATTCATTAGCAACGCAAACGATCAGGTAAAAAAGTATAAAGTATGCATATTATGGGAAAAACAGCATTCAATTCTTTTAGGGGTTTTTATTATGTCTTTTATCATTTTCTTGAAAAATTTAATATCATTTTTAAAATCATTATATTACTCACTAATTTCATGTAACGCCATATAAATAACTAAGGTTTCTTGAAAATGGTGAAGGTGTATTTTATAGGGTGTTGGGTCTGAAAATTCCTTAACTAAACGGAGTTTCGGTCACAAGTGCATCGTCAATATGCTGAAAAAACCGTTCCGTAGAAAATCCGCGCCAAACTCCCCAGTCGCTCCCCCACGCACGAAGGGGCGCTCCGCGTCGGCGTCACGTAGCGGAAGCGTCGATCCCGTACGTGCTTTTTTTGTCACTAATTTTCATTTATTAAATGCTTTTTGGTTTTGTTTTTTTTTTGTTTTTTAACTAATGAATTCACTACATTTTGTCATGCTTCGGCTTTATGAGAGGAAAAGTAACGTGGTTGTTAATTTTTAAATTAATAAAATTAACAACTGAATAATTCATAGCCCATATTAATATAATCAACAATAAATGCCTCGTCAATCGTCATACGTTACATAAAATTGCCATTTCATTCTGAATTTAATTAATAATTTATTGTGCTTTATTTATATTAAACGATCATTATTAACGTACTGTTACTGTTTACCTTTCTTGCTGGCCAGAATTTTGGTAAGTTTATATTTATATAACACTTTCCAACGTGTTCATTTTTGCTTTTTGCTAAAATACTTTAAAGTAGTCTTTTTTTTTGTAAATAATTTTGAGTTTGATTTGTAATTGTACACTTCTGCTAGGTCGCCCTAAGTACCAACAAAACGTTAATGGATGAGGAATGGTTTCACGGCGTACTTCCCCGAGAAGAAGTCGTCCGACTCTTAACCCAAGATGGAGACTTCTTGGTTAGAGAAACCACAAGAAACGACGAATGTCAGACAGTCCTTTCGGTTTGTTGGAGAGGCCATAAACACTTCATAGTACAAACCACAACAGAGGTAGCAATTACCAATTTTATTCCTTTTTAATTGCAATTGATCAAATATTTTTTAGGGTCACTTTCGATTTGAAGGTCCAGCTTTCCCCAGTATAAGAGAACTAATTTTATATCAATATAAGAGTGGGTTACCTGTGACCAGCAGATCTGGAGCGGTTCTTCATCGTCCTATTCCCAGGGAAAGGTGGGAATTGAATAATGACGATGTTCTTCTTTTAGACAAAATTGGGAGGGTAAACGAAATTTTGGAATGCATAATGATGGCAGTTTATTGTCTGTATTTTTTAGGGTAACTTTGGAGATGTTTACAAAGCGCAGCTAAAAAGCACGAACCAAGAAGTGGCCGTTAAAACGTGCAGAGTTACCCTCCCTGAGGAGCACAAGAAAAAATTTTTACAGGAAGGCAGGATTTTGAAACAGTATGACCATGCCAATATTGTAAAACTTATCGGGATCTGTGTGCAAAAACAGCCAATTATGATCGTTATGGAATTAGTGCCTGGTAAATTAAGTTTTGATTATTTTTGTTGTGTATTTAAGTTAATTTATTATGCAGGTGGTTCGTTGTTAACTTTTTTACGAAAAAATTCGACACATTTAACAGAGGCTCAGTTGATGAACATGTGTTTAGACACGGCAGCTGGTATGAAGTATTTGGAGTCAAAAAATTGCATTCACAGAGACTTGGCAGCACGAAACTGCCTAGTTGGTAAATAAGCAAACCTCAGTAATCTTGAGACAATTTGCCTTGAACCAATTTAATGGTTCTATTTTTATAGGATATTCGAATATCGTTAAAATATCTGACTTTGGAATGTCGAGAGAAGAAGAAGAGTACATTGTGTCAGATGGGATGAAACAGATCCCAATCAAATGGACAGCCCCAGAAGCTCTCAATTTTGGTAAGCAAAACGCAAAGTTTATTTAATGTTTCATTGCATATAAAACCTTTTTAATTAGGAAAGTACACATCTCTCTGTGATGTTTGGAGCTATGGGATCTTGTGCTGGGAGATATTTTCCAGGGGTGGAACACCCTACAGTGGCATGAGCAATTCTAAAGCACGGGAAAAAATTGACAGTGGTGAGTATAATTATTCTTAAGGTAATTTGTAAGAACTGTTGTTGGATGTGGCAGTCAAAAATTGCACTTTTATTAAACATGTGTTTCGAATTTGGTGTTTGGACGGGTTGTATTGCTTTTTTTAACAATTGCTTCTCTGTCCATCGTTTCTTGTTTAACATTCCTACTTTAAAGGTTGTATCCAAGGTTATCCTTTCCCCCCCTCCCCTAGGTATTCCATGTTTAACGTTTGTTTACTTCCCTGGGCGTCTCATGTCTGATACTTATTCAGGTGAAAAGGTGTTGCTTGAACATTTCCTCTATTTTTCTCAGACTGTGCATTTAATTCTAACGATTGGGCTTTGGCTAACGGTGACTTATATATTAATTTTTTCCTGGTTTGCTGCTTGCATAAAATTAACCAATTTTGACCTAAATGGTTTGGCTTTCTAGTACGTTAGTTCTTCATTTCAATTCCGTTCGTTTTTGTTTCTCAGGATACAGAATGCCTGCTCCTGAAAATACTCCCGATGAGATGTATCGTCTCATGCTACGGTGCTGGGAATATCAGCCTGAAAATAGGCCCAATTTCGAGCAAATTTACACCGTCGTGGACACTCTCTGTCAGGCCTATAACGTCTCTTTTTTATGATTAAACAATAAAATTTATAAATATCTAACCACCTAATTTATCGATACACATATACGCTCACACACCAACACATATACATACACAAGTGTCGACTTATTAATTGCAGTTATAATTAAAGTTATTTAACAATTTTTTGTAAACGCCTTCCTCTCTTTACTCTTGAACTTGTAAATAATAATAATATAGCCTCATGTTTTTTAATCAAGTGTTTTCAAATCGTTGGTCCCTCATTTTCAATACATATTGTACTTTATTCAAAATTAATGTAACATTTCTTATTTTACAAAAAAGAGAAGTTTGTTGTGTTGTATATGTTTTGTATCAGGCCAAAACTTTTTTGGCAAAATTAATATCGTATTTAGTTGAAAAATTTATTTTTATATTGATATAAATTTTGATTTATTTTGATATAAAAAAGACTCACAAAAATTTAAATTCAAGTAAATTTGATTACAAAAACGATTCTTTCGTTTTAATTACAGTAATTTTATTTGTTATTTGTTCTTATCCTATTATTATTAAGATTCGTTTTGCAATAATTTATCAGCTTTTTTAAGTGTGACGTAATTATTCAATTGCTTGACCCTCAGCTTGCTCCAAATAATATAATTTGATAACCCTGTTATTTGTGCGGCATTTAATGCAGCCGATTCGGGATAAACAACCGTGCTACATCCTAGGCCCGAAGGTACGTTCAAACTGGACCAGATATCTTGGATAACGTTCGCGTTGTTAACAGGGGGGCAGTTTATAACTGGATAACTTGTATTTCCTGATAATACGGGCCCTAATCCGTTAGATCTTCCTGCCACAGCGATAAAAATCACTTTAAGGGGCAGAGACTCGTAATAACTAATTATTTTCAATGTCTCTTCTGTTTCTTTATGAGCTGACGTAATTCGCGTGACTACGTTCAGTCCCAAATTTTCGCAGTAGTTTTGTATTTTTTGGCAGTGGTCTTTGTCGCTGGGACTGCCCATGAGGATGACCACTAGATGGTCGTTTTTGGGTACAAGGTGGTCCAGTTGTTCGCTGACCCATTGAAAATTACGTTTCACTGTGTCCAAATCTGCTTGAGTTACAGATGTTAAATTACGATACACTTGTTTATCAACCATTAATCTCTTATCCCCCGACGGCCAGAGACGCCACGAGTCCGAATCGATTATATCGGCCAAAAGAATTTCACCTATATCACAAAAGATACAAAAGTTAAATTTCTCAAATAAATACCACATTAAGTAATAGAATAAAATAATAATAATAATTATTAATAATAGTTAAACAAAAATAGTGAATGTAACTTCTTTTTTACCATTGCTATCTACACCAAATTCGACTTTCATATCAATCAAAGCGCAATTTCTGGTTGCCCAAGCCTTCTCTAGCACCTCAAACACTAAAATTGTGGTCTTTCTCATAATATCCACCTCGGTTTGACCTTAAACAAATCATAATATCAACTATAAATAATCAGTAATTAATTTAATTAATTGAATTGATAGGTATATGACTGAAATTTTTTTTTAATATATTTTGGTTCATTTTACCAACATGTACTTAGATATTCCATTGATTTTAGTTTAGTTTAATTGACTTTTTAGTGTCTAATGACAAAAGTTGAGTACCTATTGTGAGACCATTGAATTTGAATTTAGCTGAGATAATTTGTTCTTCAGACCATTGTGGGTCATGATTTTCATCATCTTTAAAGAAAGTCTCCTGTTTGGGAGGGTAAAAACGATATCCTTCAGTAACTCCTGGATGACGCTTAATGAAAGAACCGGTTGCCAGTCTTCTTGTCACCCATTCGATTGGGATCATTTCACACTTCTTGGCGATAAAGGCATTTTTACTTGCCACTTTTACAAAAGCAGTCTTTATCCCTACAAGGTTTTCATAATGAATTAGCTGGATATTTATGGAAATATGTGATGTAAAGCTTCCCCTCACCTACAGAGTTTATTATTTCAAAGACTTTTGCATTTGTAGTATTAGAAATTTCTGCTTTTCCTGCTAAATCATGAGCTTTTACCCCATCTCCAGCTGTTATCCTGTCTTTACTTAAAAGGAGTACATGACCAGGGTTGTTGGGTAAATCGAATACTACCTTAGTTTTTCCTTCGATGATAATATCTCCTTGCTCATACTCTCCAACTATAGAAAGAAAATTTTCAGTGAATAATCGATTTATTAATTTTTCTCCCCCCTAATAAAAGGTTGGTTGAGGTTATTAGATCACAAAAACACCTGTTGATTTCCTTCAGAATAATATTTAAGAATGTTTTTATTTAATTAATTTGTAAAGATTAATTAAAAAAAAGATAAATTACCTTTGTTTCTTGTAGCCATTTCAATTCGTTATAGAAGGGGATGCTTCTTCAAAGGATTATTATGGTAAACTTTGTTATATTTGGTTGTTTTAGTTTTAATACTTGCTATCTGTTTATTACTTCTTAAGTCAACACGCAAGCGTTAATAAACAATCTCTTAAATTTATTGCAAAAGGTTTGTTGGTTACAGTTAGTTATCAATCGTTATCACCTTTGAAAGCATAATTTTTCTGTATGTTGTTATATCGTCATTAATAAAAAACTGCAAAATGTGTTCTAAAACAACATAAAAGCACAGACATCCCTTATATTTATCATAAACGATTAGGACGATCTTTATGAAAGATTATAATTTCCTTTTCACTATATTTCTCTTATCTTTATTGAAAAAAAGATGTTTGAGGATTTTCGTATTTCCCTAGATAGGCAACCAATTTTACGCCTTTAACACCGATGCTAATAACACATTAACGTTAATGTTAGTTTCCACTTTATCTTTTCTTCAGTTAAGTACTTAAGTAAAAATAAACAAATCTCTAACAGTTGATATTCATTTTAATTAACTAATTAAAGGATATTAAATTTAAAATACTTTTCAGGTGTTAAGTGGGTACTTTAATTCTGAATGTGACAAAATAATTCAAATTTAAAGAAGTCATTACAAATTATTTTGTTACTATTCTGCCCTCATTCCACTTGAAAAATATAAATACGTAAGAACTGATAACGTAAAAATATTATTATTATTACATTTTCTCTATCAAAATCAAAACCAAACATGTTTTCAATATTGTGAAAGGAAACAAAAATTTAATGAGCACAGTGAAATAATGTAAGCACGTTGAATGTGATGCAATTATAAACATAATTGTTGATTTGAGAAGCTATTTTTTGAAAAAAATAGACTTCCAATGGCTTTCTTAATAATAATAATAAACTGAAATGTTACATATGCATTTACGTTACATAAGTAAAAAAAAGGACAACTTTTAGTTTGGCTTATAAATTTGTTTAGATATATATTTTCTATCACTTTCCTACATTACTACGTTTTAGTGATTCGTAATTTCATAAATAAACAATAAATTATATTTAGGTCACCACCTTAAGTTACAACCGTGATATTTTTTTTCTTTTTTTTTTTTTAATTTATAAATCCGACCCCCTAGTGATGCAAACGTTTTAATAATCTCATTAAAGTTCAAGTGCAATGGTCCCCACTTTTGATAAGATGAATTTATTTTGTAAACTATTCTAAGCGTTCTTTGTGAAGACTTACTTATTATTAGTAATTTTCCAGCTTATTAACAACAAGAGATGATGAAATAATTCTTTCACTTCACTAATAGTACCCCTCTTAGTTTTTATTCGGAAATTTACTAAATGTTTTGAATCAATAAAAACATCATTAATATATCAGTAATAAATTAATTTAAAATCCTTAATAATGAAATCTAGACTTTATGAAACATTTAATGAGGAAAGCATATTTTTCCTTATTACTAATATTATTTGGTTAATCTACAGATTATTTCTTTCGTTTAAGGGAATTTTTTAAACCTTCGTTTATAAACGCTACCTACAAGCTGTAATACTATAAAGTTTATTAAACTTTAAAATCTTGAAAAACGTGATCCAAACACATAACAAAGTGACATTTTGCAATAATATTTTTCACAAAGATATACACGAATTGCTTCACCCAATTTACTTCATCAGATCTTTTTATGTAAACATTTTTGTTTTTAAAATGCTAAAAATGCATTATGAAATGTGTCCATAAATAGTATTAATAAATAATTTAAACTTAGCAGATAAAGTTCAACATATTTTTTAAAAGAGATTTTTAAATCTGATGTAAATAGTTCTCCTTTATAACTAATCTACTTTAAAGTAGAGTCCAATAAATTTCGCTGATTTTACATTTAAGCAAAAGCAAAAAAGGACAAAATTAATTTTCTTTTTTAAATATTGCACATATATAATTATCAGTAGTTCATAGCAAGGTGACCCATTACAAAATATTAAGTTTTGCTTTCCAGAGCGTCCGTTTTTATAAACTTTTACAATCGGTTTTACGAGAGAAGCCACATATTAGTTTGCGATTAATTTTTACTAATATATACATAAGAAATAAAATAACACTTATTTTGTTTGTCTAACAATAAGAGACTAGCATGTTAATATAAAACGCGCAACATCACGAGGACTTGTTTCAAATTTCGTTTCATGTGCAGCGATAGCAGACGGTTTTATCAACGTAATCGTAAGTGTCGATCCTGCACCACGACAATTTTTTTAATTAAATTGATCGTATCTGAAAAGAATAAGAACAAGAACAATTTTTGAAAACAGTTTTATTCTTTTATTTATTTATTTATTTATTGCAAGAATATAATTTTGTTTTTTTTTTTTGAGAGGTAAGAAGATTAGACGTGGACTTTATTTTCGCAAAACTTTAATTTTATCTCGATAAACAGAAATTAATTTTTTAAGAGTTCAAGAGAATGTACTAGTTTGTTTATTCATATCAACAAAATTAAAATATTCCTTGATATTTGTTCCACTTTTAATTATTATTTTCCAGTCAAAGATCATAAGACCCCCTGCTTCGTTATAATATAATTATTATTTGTGTTTTTCTTTACTAAAGGTTATCGTATTCAACTGTGCTTTTTTACTTTTGCTTTAATTTTACATTTGTTATAAACAAATTGATACTTGATGTTACAATTCATTTTATTTCTTTAATTTCAGAAGAAAATGTTAACGTCAGCTAAAGAAAAGTCGACTGAAAGCCGTTTAGAAACATGCGAATCTAAAGGTAGCATGAAAAAGTATGACTTAGATGAGAAGAGATTAGGAAGGGGTGCGGTGCTATCAGGGTTGACTCATGAATGTGGTGTCTTTGGGGCCATAGCGTCAGGAGAATGGCCTACGCATGTAGAAATTGCTCAGATCGTTTGTTTAGGACTTGTGGCTGTGCAACACAGGTAAATTAAACTTTAACAGATCTAAAATGATGTGTAAAATCAATAAAAAAATTTTTTTAACAGAGGACAAGAATCTGCTGGTATAGTAACAAGCGAAGGTAAATGCGCCAAACATTTTAATGTCCACAAAGGAATGGGAATGGTAAACAATATTTTCAACGATGACGCAATGAAGAAACTTAAGGGGAACCTTGGTATCGGACATACCAGATATTCCACGTCTGCCGCTTCTGAAGAAGTCAATTGCCAACCCTTTGTCGTCCATAGTGCCCATGGAGTACTCGCTGTAGCCCATAATGGTGAACTGGTCAATTGCGATAGTTTACGTAAAATGGTGAGCTTCTTTTTTCCCCACTCCTAAAATCGATATAAGATTTCTTTTCCATCTATCGATAGGTATTATCCCGAGGTGTGGGCCTATCAACTCATTCAGATAGTGAGTTAATAACCCAAGCCCTTTGCCTGAGTCCTCCTGTCTGCGAGAAGAACGGCCCGGACTGGCCGGCCAGAATAAAACAGCTCATGACCCTGGCACCCCTCAGCTATTCACTGGTTATCATGCTTAGGGACAGGATATACGCAGTGAGGGATCCTTATGGTAACAGGCCCTTATGTTTAGGAAAAATGTTGCCCATGAATGAACGTAAGTTCAATCAAACATATATAACAACATCTAAAATTAATTTATATTTTTTCGTTAGCGTTGTACAAAAACTGTGATGAAACCCTTCAGGCAGAAGGATGGGTTGTTTCTTCAGAATCCTGCGGCTTCTTGTCGATCGGGGCACAGTACGTTCGTGAGGTTTTCCCCGGTGAAATAATCGAAATGACGCGACATGGTATCAGGACCATCGATATTGTTGAAAGACCCGGAAATGCGCCTCAGGCTTTCTGCATTTTTGAGTATGTCTATTTTGCTCGTTCGGACAGTATTTTTGAGGGCCAGATGGTCTACGCTGTAAGAATGCAGTGCGGACGACAGTTAGCTATCGAAAGCCCCGTCGAGGCAGACATTGTAAGCTCAGTTCCAGAGTCTGGGACAGCAGCAGCTCATGGGTTCTCGAGACAGGTAAATTTCAAACTTTCAGGCGTTCGTTTTATTCGTATTTTTTGGAATCATGTTATTTTTAGAGTGGTATTTCTTTTGCTGAAGTTCTTTGCAAGAATCGGTACGTTGGAAGGTCTTTCATTCAACCGAGCACGAGACTAAGACAATATCGACAGGTTATTGCAAAATCTGTTGTCTTTTTCCCCTTTACTTATGTTTTAATCACACGTGTTTTTGTGTTTTAATCACACGTGTGATTATTATTTATTTTAAAGGTGCTTTGGGAGGAAACGTCAGAGGTAAACGAATAGTTCTCGTTGATGATTCTATTGTTCGAGGCAACACAATTGGTCCAATTATAAAACTTCTGAAGAACGCTGGAGCGAAAGAGGTCCACATTAGAATTGCCAGTCCACCCTTACTTTATCCCTGCTATATGGGTATTAATATTCCCACAAGAGAGGAACTTATTGCAAACAAACTAAAGCCCGCAGAGCTTGCAAAACACGTTGGTAAGAATTTTGTATTTTACTGATTTTTATTGACATAATATTGATTACTTTTACTCAGGTGCTGATAGTCTAGCATACTTAAGCGTCGAGGGACTTACAAAAGCTGTCAGGAATGATATTAAACTAAAAGAAACTAATGCCATTGGTCACTGCACCGCGTGTCTTACAGGAAATTATCCCGGAGGAATTCCCACACAAGTGGATTGGTAGTAAGTGTTCTTCAACTTTTTCCTGCTACTGTTTCAATTTCCATTTTTTTTTTTTACTGATACCTGTAAGACTGCCAAACACGTTAACATTAAAGATAAGTTCATAATTATGTATTAAAATTGTCAGGGATAAAAAGGACAAGAAAGGAATAGAGAAAAGAAATAGTTTATGTGAAAAGTTTTCTAGGGATTAGTAGCTTATATGAGCTTTACTTATATTTGTTGTCCCTTTGAAATTACTTTTTACTGAAATCTATCCCTGGTCAATTTTGAAAGTCAGCTGCAGCAAAAGTAAAATAAACAATAAAAAACCTTTTTAAAATTGAGGCAAATAATTTTTACGAAATTGCTTATAACTGTTTATTTTATTTGAAGTTGACTTATCTACCTCTAATACACTTTCACATTCCATACACTAAAGATTGACGAACTGTATCATGTAAACCATAAAAAATTGTTATCATCGCACATTATCATCACATTTGTAATTTAAGCACAAATACTTTTGTATATTCTTTAATCATTTATTTTTATTAAGCAGTTAGTCATATCGTTAAGTAAGGAATTAAGAAAGTAAAAATTATTTTCCTGTTTGTAGAATAATAGTAGCATTTATTTATTTATTCTTTTATGTTTTTGTTTCTACTTTTCTATTAATGAAAAAAAAAATTGGACAGTTTCTGTCTGGCTTAAAGAACGTNATTGGTGCAAATTACCAATCAATTACAGTAAAAGGCAATTTTTTCAATATCTTCACGACTCTTTCGACATTTCGCTGATAAGACCACAGGTCCACTTTCAGTAATAAGGACATCATCTTCGATTCGTACCCCGATACCCCTAAATTCTTCTGGAACGTTGAGTTGATTGCTTATATAAATCCCTGAAAATAATAAGAAAACATTTAATAACATATATGAGTAAATTAAATACTTAAAATTCGTTTATTACCAGGCTCGACGGTAATTATCATGCCAGGCACTATTTTTATTTTTCTTGGGATGGATGGGGTATCATGCACGTCCATCCCCAAATAATGGGATACATGGTGAGGACAAAAACTGTAGGCGCCCTTAAATAAATAGAAAATAACTTATTGAGGATCAAAAATGTTTCAAAAACCATTCTTACCCTTATAACTTCCTTTTGAGATGCCTTTTTGGGAATTAAACCAACTTCTTGTAAATACTTTCCCAACAAGATACACATGGAATCAAAAAGTTGATCTAAACTGGGAAAATGAGCACACCACTGAATTATTTGCGCTTGAACGGTTTCTACAATTTCATAAATTATCCTTTGCTGTGGAGTGAATTTCCCATTTATAGGCCATGTTCGCGTTATATCACTACTGTAACCATGATATTCGCACCCTGAAATTAAATTAAAACTATTTTATTTTAACTTAATTAAAAGTATGAACAAAGACATTTTAAATTATTTAATACCAGCATCCATAAGTACCATTTCCCCATCGTTAACAACCTGGTTGTTATTGATATAGTGGATGATAGTGGCCCGGTTGCCCCCTGCTACGACGGGAGGGTAAGCTAGAAATTCAGCCCCATTCATACGACATTCGTAATCCACCGTAGCAAAAATTTCATGCTCAGTAGAGCCTGGAATTAAATTTATTTTTATAATGAGAACTTACAAACGAGTTATTTAAATCGTTTCAATGTAACGTACCTGGTTTTGAATGAATTATTGATTTCATAATTGCCTCTGAAGCAACATCACAAGATTTCTGCATTAATTGGATTTCTGCAGGTGACTTAATTAATCGTAACTCATGCACAAAAGGCACTGGAGTGTCCCAAAAGTTATTGGTCATTCCATTTTGTAGCTTTTTCATTATATTATGAATATTCCCCTGTATGGGAGTCAAAAAATCATACCTTCAACATGATACATCTGTGTATATAACAGCAATTTACTTGTTTTAAAAAAATTAAATTACCATAACATTGTTTGAGGGTGAGATTTGAAGTAAAGATTCAAAAAAGTTTCAAGTTCAGTCATTGGCAAGCCTTGATTAACGCCAAAGAAATTACTAGCATCTTCTATACCTGTCCTGGGACCATCCCAAAGTTCTGAATGACTATCTTTATTTCTTAGGAAAAGTATTACTTTATAATCTTGAGATGAGGTTGTGGTAGTAATCACAAGACAAGTGTCAGGTTCTTGACAGCCAGTCAAATACAAATAATCACTATTTTGTCTAAATACATACGGAATTTTATCTGACATGTAACTTTTCGAGGCTGATGGTATAACTATCTGTGAACACTTTTGAATTAAACAAATAACTGATTCAGATAATTAATATAAGTATTACAATATGTTGTTTGGCACTATTTTCATTTTTAAGGGCTGAGGTAAGAAGTTTTTCCACGAACTTTTGTCTTCTTTGTTCAAATTCATGTTTTGCAATACCTGTTGTTATTTCACCTGGTCTTATTAAATGTGGATGAGTATTTGATGTTGGTTGACCATAAGTCTTTATTATATTTTCTTTAGAGTAACCTTTAACATTTATCTTATTTTTAGCTACGTTATTGCAGTAACACTGGAAGACATCTACGAAAGAGGACAATTTTAATAATTATTCGGTCACAAAAAGGATATCTTCCCTACTCACTTTTTGAAACATTAAGGCTTCTGGAAAGTAAGGTACAATTGAACATTTTTTGTCATATAATTTATTTAAAACAAATATTTTTCTAAAACTAGTTTATGTAGCAGAAATTTAGGTTAGGTGTTATTATGGCAAACGTCAAAATTTTTATTTTCCATATTGTAAACAATTAACCATAATAATTTTATGGTTTTGCGTGCGGTTGCAAGATGGCGCAGTTTAGTCAAATGAAAAACAAATTTTTAACTAAACACAAAGCAATTGTTTAAACAACAATTTAACTACAATAAAAACGTTAAAATGTCTCACAATATTAATGTTGACAGTGATTCTTGTACAGATATTTCTAGATCTGCAGTGAATCCGATTTGTAAAGTAGAAGAAAACGATCGACTACATAACAATGACAGACGTCCCAGTAACAGGCATTCTCGCAACAGGAGTTCCAATAAGTATGCAGGAGGTAAACCAAAAGGACCCCAAATGAATCAGGGAATCAAAGAGGACAGTTACATTAATGACAAACTTAACTCCATAAATCAAAGCACAGACCTTCCACCTTTGTGTTTGGTCGAACAGAAGTTTTCAGGAAGAAGTCGCCTTTTTATCGGAAATTTACCCTCGGACGTCACAGAAGAGGAAATAACATCGTTATTTGCTAAGTATGGAGAAACCCAGGAAGTTTACGTAAATCCGGCCAAAACTTTTGCATTTATAAAATTAGATTATTACGCGAATGCGTTTAGGGCAAAAACGGAGTTGTTTGGTTACAATCTGAGAGGGAGACATTTGATCATTCGATTCACTCATCCGGCAGCTATATATGTTAAAAATTTGTCCCCCAATGTTACAAACGAGCTGCTATACTTGGCTTTTTCCGTTTTCGGGGACATTGAAAATTGCTACATAATTGTCGATGAAAAGGGCAAATCGAAAGGCGAAGCTGTTATTGAATTTGTGAAAAAAGGAAGCGCCACAATTGCTGCGAAAAGATGTTCCGAGGGCTGTTTTATCTTAACAGCTTCTCTGCGACCAGTCATTGTCGAAAAATTTGAGCCTTGGTTTGATATAAACGGATATCCGGAAATTTTGGTAAGAAATCGTTTATTTTTTACTTTTATTTTTACTGTAACAAGTATATTTTAATTATTTATTATGCAGAAGTATTCCAGGCCAAGTTAGAATTTATATATTTAGTAAAGATACGATTAAACAAGAATGGTAGATTCTAATCATTTTATTATTTTTGGTAGATAGCATCTTGGCATTTACTTTCCTTTTAATTCTTTCTTCAAACAGTTTATCATAAATTACCTTTTCGATATTTGTTTTTACTGTTATATTTTATATTATTTGCCCACAGGCAAAAAGGAACGAAGACTACTATCGCGAAAGAGAAATGACGCCCAGATTCGCAAATCCTGGTACTTTCGAGTACGATTACGCCAAACGTTGGAAAGATCTTCATGAAAAATACAAGTTGAAAATGACCTCGCTAAAAAGCGAACTCTTCTACGAGGAGCAAAAGCTGGAAGCGGATATGATAGCAGCCCAATACGATCACGAAACGGATCGCCTTAAGAAAATGCTTCAGCTTAGGGAGATGGACAGGGAAAGGATTAAACAGGAATGGGAACTTAGACAGAGACAGATTGAAGACCGGTGTTTACGGGAGAGGCAAAGTTATTGCACTTCTAACTCGATCTCTCAAGACGAAAACAATTTATACCTCCAGGCCAGTCAATTAAATAATTTGTTGGAACGCGAGGAACAATTACAGGTGAGTTTTTACCTGCGTCAGATTTTTTTTATAAACGGTCCTCATAATAATGTTAAATAAATGCGAAGGTAATAAAAAACGATTCTGTTCGTTCGATAATATGTGCGCAATAAACGTTATTTAAATTTTAAATTTATGAAGATAGATTAAAGGGCATCCTTTTATACAAATTAAGCTATTTAACAAGTAAAATTTTTCTCAGGAGCAGTGGCAAATGAACCACTTCACAAGCTCATCTTCTTATGAACAAAGAAGCGATTATATGAAACGTGAAGCTAATGATTCGGAATGCTGGGTCAATTTAGGTGAAAATTACAATCCTAGAGGTCACAAAAGACTAAGACATTGATTAACTTTTTTTCTTGTTAACTTACACTATATTCTCGCGTTGTTTATTACTTTCCTTAGTATCTATTAGAATTAAGAGAAAAGTTCATCAAACTTTTGTCTTTAGTTTATGTTTTGTTTGAATTAGTTATTAAAACAATGTATAAGCTTAGTCTGTCTTTATTTTGTACTTTCATGCTTCTGCATGGACAGTGACATATAAAATAACTGTTTATTTACAACTGCTGTGTATATTATTGAGCTTTTTATAAAAACAAATTCTTATTTTCCGTCTAACAACAAAATAACGAAGACAATGACCCTTTGCACCTTTGATTACATTCATTTAATTAATTATAATTGTTAAAGTGTCTAAAATTTATTTATTCTATGAATCTCTTGCATCATTTATTGTAGCTGGGACTTTAATTTCTAGTCCATCCAAATCTTCCGAGAGGATAATTTGACATCCTAGGCGAGAGGTTTCTGTCAAATCGTAGGCCAAATCTAACATATCCAGCTCTTCGTCGGTTGGTTTCTCAGGGAGTCGATCAAAGTCTTCTTTTTTAAATATCAGGTGGCATGTGGAACAGGTAAGTGTTCCTTCACAAGCCCCAAAACCATCCAAGTCGATATTGTTGTTTACAACCACGTCCAAAAGCGAATCTCCCACCTTTCCTTTGCTTTCTATTCTTTCCCCATTAGCTTTAAGAAAAGTTACCCTTATCCTGTTGAAGTAAAATGGGTGGTCTAACTTTAGGGAAATTAAATTTAATTCAAATTAAAAAGTGCTATATTATGAATAGCAAATTTAGAGAATATAAAGCAATACAATGAGTACTTACTCTTTCTTATCTAAAGCAGGTGTCGACACTGATACAAGACGTCTTAAGGTTTCGCTAGATAGAAGAGTTTTTCGTAAATTTAAAACAGTTCTAACTAGGGCCATATTTTTAACACTTATTCAATATTTTAAAGCTTAAATGTAGTTGATACTCCGAAATAGAATGATTAAAATTGCTATTCAACACGTAAGCAAGTAGAAATTTCGAAAGTTATCTTTGAAAAAATTCAAATGACACGTAACCACCTAAACGTTTAAACGAAAAGCACAGAGTACTGGCAAATTACACTATTTCTTGTCATCTTCTGCTCATTACTAATTCGTTTCAAATTGAATTTCTAATAAAATTTTAAATTAGATACAAATTTATGAAGTTAACTATAAAAACTGGGGTTATGTTCGCTCTGCTGTCAGATTGGCTCATCCCTTTGAACTATTTTTCGGTTTTATTTGAACTATAATTTTGGTGATGCATTTGAACTATTAAACTCGGTAAGCATATTATCTATGGTAAGCATAGTGTATTAAACCATAACCTACAATTAAAATTATTTTATTTTAAATTTTAAGGCATTTAATTAATGTGTAAAGAGCATGTACAATTGATTCTATAGGAGAATAACAAAAATTTCATTTCTTTCCTTTGCCAGAGCTGGAGCACTGTTTTGCTTTTCTTTCAAACTGCATTTGTTTAATTTTGGTTGAAAGCTTATCAGCAGCTTTTGCGTGTTTATCTTGTGAAAGTTTTGGTGCTGGATGAAGAAACTTTTGCTTTTCATCTCTCCTGACCGCTTCACCACATCCATGTATTTCTGGTAAGCCATGAGATGTACAAAATCTATTTTTGCAATATCGACAGGTTATTGCAAAATCTGTTGTCTTCTTTTTACATTTAGAAAAACAACAAATGTTATCATTTTTCTTTAAGTCTTTTAAAATATCATCTAAATCTCCACCACTATTAACAATTTTACTGGTGTTCTTCTGCTTGTCCTTTAAAGTGTCTTTAGTTTGGGTATGTGTCACTGTGGCCATTATTCAACATTAAAAATTCTGAAAATAGTGAATTGTATTAGAAATGTACCAAATTTATCTTATAAATAATACAAATACCTTGGCAATTCCTAATTACGATTTAACGTGGTAGACATATTGTTTTTCCTTATAATTTGCGTGAGAAAAACTGATAGAAAAAAAGACATTTGTTATTGGAAAAGTAAATTTTTTTTAGTAGCAGTTGCACTTTTTTTATCTTTTTGCTTTTATATATATAATTAAAAAAAGATTTTAGCTCTACGTTTATTCGTATTGTCAATAGTCGGCCATT